TAAAAATTTTTTTTAACCAATCCATCCCGGGGGGGGGGGGGCAAGTGCCCCCCTTGCCCCCCCCCCTGCGGGCGCCCATGCTACGAGACTAATTATGAAAATTAGCTTGGTAAGTACAAAGGGCAATTTCGACAACACCAAGTAAATGACTTTTTAAAAAAAAATCTGCACAAAACAAAAAGATTTTTATTAGAGCAAGTACAGAGAGTACATAGAGCTATGTAAAAGCTAGTCATGCAGCAGCCATGATACTAGCAACAAAAAAAATCGAAGCAATATTCAGATGGTGAAATGGTGTTTGGAGAGCGTCGTTGAATTCTGTGTCCAGAAAAGAAGAAACATTTCTCAAAAATAAGTCTGTCTCGTCAGACATCACTAGGCGCGTGGACGACATTGGATAACATATGAAAGATAATTTGATAAGTCGAGTATCCGAGTTTGTATTTTATGCTCTAGCATTGGATGAAAGCACAGATATGGCAGAGACTGCCCAACTGGCAATTTTTATCAGGGGTGTTGATGTACATTTTAAAAAGACAGAAGAATTAGCCGCATTTTATCCACTTAAGGACACTACTAAGTCACGAGATTTCTTAGAAAAAGTTCCATCGACAATGAATCTCTTTTCGTTACAACTTAACAACTTATCGCGCCTAACCACAGATGGTGCTCCAGCAACGGTTGGAAAACAAGAAGGTCTAGTCTTAACCACAGATGGTGCTCCAGCAACGGTTGGCAAACAAGAAGGTCTAGTCTTAACAACAGATGGTGCTCCAGCAATGGTTGGCAAACAAGAAGGTCTAGTCTTAACCACAGATGGTGCTCCAGCAACGGTTGGCAAACAAGAAGGTCTAGTCTTAACCACAGATGGTGCTCCAGCAACGGTTGGCAAACAAGAAGGTCTAGTCTTAACCACAGATGGTGCTCCAGCAACGGTTGGCAAACAAGAAGGTCTAGTCTTAACCACAGATGGTGCTCCAGCAACGGTTGGCAAACAAGAAGGTCTAGTCTTAACCACAGATGGTGCTCCAGCAACGGTTGGCAAACAAGAAGGTCTAGTCTTAACCACAGATGGTGCTCCAGCAACGGTTGGCAAACAAGAAGGTCTAGTCTTAACCACAGATGGTGCTCCAGCAACGGTTGGCAAACAAGAAGGTCTAGTCTTAACCACAGATGGTGCTCCAGCAACGGTTGGCAAACAAGAAGGTCTAGTCTTAACCACAGATGGTGCTCCAGCAACGGTTGGCAAACAAGAAGGTCTAGTCTTAACCACAGATGGTGCTCCAGCAACGGTTGGCAAACAAGAAGGTCTAGTCTTAACCACAGATGGTGCTCCAGCAACGGTTGGCAAACAAGAAGGTCTAGTCTTAACCACAGATGGTGCTCCAGCAACGGTTGGCAAACAAGAAGGTCTAGTCTTAACCACAGATGGTGCTCCAGCAACGGTTGGCAAACAAGAAGGTCTAGTCTTAACCACAGATGGTGCTCCAGCAACGGTTGGCAAACAAGAAGGTCTAGTCTTAACCACAGATGGTGCTCCAGCAACGGTTGGCAAACAAGAAGGTCTAGTCTTAACCACAGATGGTGCTCCAGCAACGGTTGGCAAACAAGAAGGTCTAGTCTTAACCACAGATGGTGCTCCAGCAACGGTTGGCAAACAAGAAGGTCTAGTCTTAACCACAGATGGTGCTCCAGCAACGGTTGGCAAACAAGAAGGTCTAGTCTTAACCACAGATGGTGCTCCAGCAATGGTTGGCAAACAAGAAGGTTTAGTCTTAACCACAGATGGTGCTCCAGCAATGGTTGGCAAACAAGAAGGTTTAGTCTTAACCACAGATGGTGCTCCAGCAACGGTTGGCAAACAAGAAGGTTTAGTCTTAACCACAGATGGTGCTCCAGCAATGGTTGGAAAACAAGAAGGTTTAGTCTTAACAACAGATGGTGCTCCAGCAACGGTTGGCAAACAAGAAGGTTTAGTCTTAACAACAGATGGTGCTCTAGCAATGGTTGGCAAACAAGAAGGTTTAGTCTTAACAACAGATGGTGCTCTAGCAATGGTTGGCAAACAAGAAGGTTTAGTCTTAACCACAGATGGTGCTCCAGCAACGGTTGGGAAACACGAAACTTTAGTCAAATTGATTGAAAAAAATGAGGCCTCCAAAGTCGGCAATACTTCAATGCTTATTTTTCGTTGCATTATTCATCAGGAGAATTTGTGTTCGAAGTCGCTCAAAATGGACCATGTCACGAAAGTGGTCGTCCAAATAGTGATCTCCATGGAAACAGGCGGGTTGAATCACCTTCAGTTCCGAAAATGATCTCTAAAGTGTTTGGACTCAAATTATGATGAGAAGTAAGATGGCTGACCAGTGCCAAAATGTTTGAAACGACTGTTTTTTTATTTTTCCGCAATAAATACAATCATTCTTTGCACGCATGTCAAGAAGGCTTATACCGCAATTAAGTTACAAGCTTTATCAATTGATGCGATGAAAATTTTCTCCAGCTGAATGTCAATTTATGTCCTAAATGTATCCCTAAACCTAACCTGAACCCTAAATATATCCCTAAACCTAACCTGAACCCCAAATAAATCTATCCCTAAACCTAACCTGAACCACAATTGATGCGATGAAAATTTTCTCCAGCTGAATGTCTCAAAAAAAGAAAAAAAAAAAAAATGGTTGTTGATTTCAGGAGGGGGGGGGGACACCAGATTACAGACCTAAACATTAAAATCAAAGTGTAGAGAACGTAGAGGCATATAAGTACTTAGGTGTCACCATTAATAATAAGCTAACATGGCATGAGCACGGGCAAATGCTGTATAAAAAATTCAACCAAAGACTGTTCTACCTCAAAAAACTGTAAAATTTCGGCGGAAACAAACAAGTCGTTAACTTATTCTACAGTGCAACAATTGGAAGCCTGCTTAATTTCAGTATTACCTGCTGGTGTGGGAATTCATTGTCTGATATTAAACACCGCATAAACCGACTATTCAAGAAAGCTAGGAACATAACACAAACTAAACATCCTTTACTGGAAGAAATATTTGAAGAAAGATGTTATTGTAAAACTAAATACATTTTGGATGATAGGCCTACATCCCACCCTCTTCATCACAGATACTTAGGATCGGCCCGCTGGGGACGAATTCTTTCTCTCAGGGCGAGGACTGAAAGATATACAAAGTCTTTTGTTCCCCAATCTGTACAACTTTACTAGCGTACTCCCCCCTGACGTCACAAATCTTAATGAGAACTATTGGCCAAACCTTGTATAACTTAATTGGCTGACCCGTGTATACCTTTATTGGCTGACCCTGAATAACTTTATTGACTGACCCATATATAGTTTTATTTGCTGACCCCTTGAATAACTTTATTGGCTAACCCTTGTATAACTTTATTGGCTGATCCCTGCATACCTTTATTGGCGGACCCCTGTATACCTTTATTGATTGGTAAATGAGTGGTGACTTACATCATTGTGAAACAATACCAAAGCAATTCTAAAAGTTATTATCTTGAAATCTTCCAGTACGAGCATATTATGAAATCAGTAGGGGCAGCATATTATGAAATCAGTAGGGGTAGCATATTATGAAATCAGTAGGGACAATATACTATGAAATCATTAGGGGCAACATACTATGAAATCAGTAGGGGCAGCATATTATGAAATCAGTAGGGGCAGCATACTATGAAATCAGTAGGGGCAGAATATTATGAAATCAGTAGGGGCAGCATATTATGAAATCAGTAGGGGCAGAATATTATGAAATCAGTAGGGGCAGCATATTATGAAATCAATAGGGCCAGCATATAATGAAATCAGTAGGGGCAGAATATTATGAAATCAGTAGGGGCAGCATATTATGAAATCAGTAGGGGCAGCATATTATGAAATCAGTAGGGGCAGAATATTATGAAATCAGTAGGGGCAGCATAATATGAAATCAGTAGGGGCAGCATATTATGAAATCAGTAGGGGCAGAATATTATGAAATCAGTAGGCCCAGCATATTATGAAATCAGTAGGGGCAACATACTATGAAATCATTAGGGGCAACATACTATGAAATCATTAGGGGCAACATACTATGAAATCAGTAGGGGCAGCACATTATGAAATCAGTAGGGGCATCATAGTATGAAATGACTAGGCAGCATATTCTGAAATCACTAGAGGCAGCATATTTTGACACCGAATGTGTTCACTCGTCAAGCATGAAAAATGTTTCAGTGAAAAGAAACGAATCAAATTACATTTCTATTTTTAGGGATTTGTTCTTCTTATTTTTTAAATATATTTTGTAAAAGACGATAGACCAACATCGCGACCGAATGGATCAGTTGACACAAGGCGCCGGTCTTCTCAGCTCTTACGTCAGATAGGGCGCCGGTCTTGTCAGCTCTGACGTCAGATATGGCACCGGTCTTCTCAGCTCTGACGTCAGATAGGGCGCCGGTCTTGTCAGCTCTTACGTCAGATAGGGCACCGGTCTTCTCAGCTCTTACGTCAGATACATCCGAAAGCGCCCCAAAGTTAAATATCAACCACCCTCCCTCAAGGTTGGACACGCCCCCCCCCCTGCAGCCACCAGTCTTGGGAGAGGATCGTATCGGGGCAAGATTGCACGAAGTGAGCGCGTATCTCGGACCCAGTGGTCTTCATTTCTGGTCACGTGTTGACACAAGAGAAGGGAGAGGGGGGGGGGGGAAGGGGGGGGGGGGGAAAAGAGAATGGGGGGGGGGGGGGGTTGTGGGGGTGTTAGAAAAAAAGAAGCATAAGGGTGTGAAAAAGGAGAAGGTGGGGTATTGGGGGTATGAGGAGGGAAAAAGTGGAGAAGTGTTGGGTGTGAGGAGTGAGAAAGTGGGGTATTGTTGGGTGTAAGGAGTAAGAAAGTGGGGTATTGTTGGGTGTGAGGAGTGAGAAAATGGGGTATTTTGGGTGTGAGGAGTGAGAAAATAGAGTATTGTTGGTTGTGTGGAGTGAGAAAATGGGGTATTTTGGGTGTGAGGAGTGAGAAAATGGGTTATTGTTGGGTGTGAGGAGTGAGAAAATGGGGTATTGTTGGGTGTGGGGAGTGAGAAAATGGGGTATTGTTTTTTGTGTGGAGTGAGAAAATGGGGTATTTTGGGTGTGAGGAGTGAGAAAATGGGGTATTTTGGGTGTGAGAAAGTGGGGTATTGTTTTGTGTGTGGAGTGAGAAAATGGGGTATTGTTTTGTGTGTGGAATGAGAAAATGGGGTATTTTGGGTGTGTGGAGTGAGAACATGGGGTATTTTTGGTGTGTGGAGTGAGAAAATTGGGTATTTTGGGTGTGGGGAGTGAGAAAATTAGGTATTTTGGGAGTGAGGAATGAGAAAATGGGGTATTATTGGTTGTGTGGAGTGAGAAAATGGGGTATTGTTGGATGTGAGAAAGTGGGGTATTGTTTTGTGTGTGGGGAGTGAGAAAATGGGGTATTTTGGGTGTGAGGAGTGAGAAAATGGGGTAATGTTGGTGTGTGGAGTGAGAAAATAGGGTATTGTTGGGTGTGAGGAGTGAGAAAATGGGGTATTGTTGGGTGTGAGGAGTGAGAAAATGGGGTTTGTTTTTTATGTGGAGTGAGAAAATGGGGTAT